CTCCTCAGGCCTCAGGCTTCTCCTCAGGTCAGCTGTGCTCCCTTTGGGCTTTATAATTGAGGACCAGGGCCTCAGGGACCACCCTTGGGGTGGTGATTCTGTATGAACAACAAAAAACTCTGGAATCAAAACCACAGTGGGGCCAAGCACATATACCTGTATACCTGTAATCCCAGGTATTATACCTGTAATCCCAGCAGTTCAGGAGGCTAAGGCAGGAGGATCATGAGTTCAAGGCCAGCCTCAGCAATTTAGCGTGACCATAAGCAACTCAGCAAATCGCTATCTCAAAATAAAATGTTTTTTAAAAACGGGCTGGAGATGTGTCTCCGTGGATAAGTGCCCCTGGGTTCAATTCTTGGTATCAAAACAACAACAACAACAACAAAAAAACCCCTGCAGTGGGCATCTGACCCAGCCCTCTCCTTTTACCCACAAGGAATCCAAGATCTAGAAGAGAGGTTGGTGGGGTCTTCGGGGCAGGAGAAGCCTGTGACAAAGGGCTAAGTTCCTCCTTAGGTGGAATGTGATTCCCCGAGTGCAGCCTGAGCAGGACCCCTCACTAATCTGCCTCCTCTGTAGTGTTGGACTCACTGCCTCCTGGGGGACCCCCAGCCCCCGTCCTAGCCTCTGTCCCAGAATGGAGTATCTGTGTAGTTGTAGCTTTCTTAAGGTGAATCCAGGTTCCTTTCCTCTGTGGACCATTTCCCCGGGGCCTGGCGCTGTGACCTTCCAGGCCCTTCCTTGCCCTGCCTGAGGTGTCCCTCTCTTGCCTTCCTCTTCAGGGATCCTTAACTTCTGTGCCAACAACTACCTGGGCCTGAGCAGCCACCCCGAGGTGATCCAGGCTGGCCTGCAGGCTCTGCAGGAGTTTGGAGCTGGCCTTAGCTCAGTCCGCTTCATCTGCGGGACCCAGGTACACAGTGGGTGTTGGGGGGCGGCTGGCCCCAGCTGTCCGCTTCCCACAGCCAGCAGGGCTGCTTTGGCCAGCTCAGCTAGTCCCAGTGTTCTGGGCCTGTGTTTGCCCAGAGCAGGTCGGAGAAAGGCTGGGCGCAGGCCTCTGGCCAAGACACCTCCAGATAAGAAACTTTACCTGTCTGAGCTTGTTTCCCCACCTGCAGAGCAGAGTTCCTCATGGTTTTCTCCACTGGTAAATTGGGGAAAATAGTACTTAATAGGACTGTAGAAATTAACAAGTTAGTACATGTAAAAATGCTTATAACTGTGCCTGGCCCACACTTAGTAAATTTTGGCTACTGTTTACTTTGAGTGATAAAATATGTTTATGTTAAACATGAAATATATTCAGTGCTTACTATGTGTCAAGTCCTTTTTTATTTTTTATTTTTAGTTGCCAATGGACCTTTATTTTATTTATTTATATACGGTGCTGAGAATCGAACCCAGTGCCTCACACATGCTAGGCAAGCTCTCTGCCTCTGAGCCCCAGCCCCTCAAATACTCTTTTAAGGACATTACAAGTATTAACTCATTAATTCTCTTGATAATCCTGAGGGTTAGATGCTCTTCTGATCTCTGTGGTTGACACGAGGACATGGAGGCTCAGAGAGGTTAAGTGATTTGCCCAAAAATATACCGCTTGTCATGGTGGAATTTGAACCCAGGTAGCCTGGCTCACTTTTTTCTTGAAGAAAAGTAAGGGTGAAATGAACATCAGGCAGAATCCCTGTCTCCCATCTAGATAGATACTCTCCAATAAAACCCCCAGCCAGACCCAATAGCTTTCAAATCTAAGATGCAGACGCCCGAGTCTTCTTTGTCATGAAGCCACCAAAGGGACACTCCTTTTGCTATTAGGAAGACATCTTCTCCAGCCTGTGATCCCAGTGACTTGGAAAGCTAAGTAAGAAGGACCACAAGTTAAAGGCCAGCCTCAGCAACTTAGGAAGACCCTGTTTCTAAATAAATAAAGGAAGCAAGATGTCTTCTTTCCCATCAGCACCCACGATTCCACCATGAGGTCCATCCAGGATAGGAAACCTAGCAAGTCCCCAACTCAGTAGGAACCATGTGTCAGGTTCCTGCCAGCTCTGGGATACCCTGTGCGGTGCAGAAAGAGGGATCAAGGGCCTGGGAGTGTAGCTCATTTGTAGAAGGCAGGTGGGCAAGGCTGAGGCTGCAGCCTCCTGGGTTCTGGGCTGGGTCTGTTTGAGGCTCTCTAAGCCTCTGTCTTCTAGGACTAGTCCCACAGGACTCCACAGGAATGAAGACCTACGTGGCTTGTGTCCATTTTTTAGAGCATTCACAAGAGTCTAGAAGCCAAAATAGCCCGCTTCCACCAGCGGGAGGATGCCATCCTCTATCCCAGCTGCTTCGATGCCAACGCTGGCCTCTTTGAGGTGTGTGGAGGCTATGGGTGGGAGCTGGGTGGGCCATCAGGGGAACCCAGCAGGATGCGGCTGCTGTTCCTGGAAGTTCCAGTGCCCTTTCCTATGGAGGTCATGGTTGGGCCCCGCAGGTATTCTAGGAGGAAGCCTGGGGCTGCAAGGAGCCCCGCTTCTAGAGCATCTGGGGGTAACTGACATCAGCTGGAAGAAGGCTGGGGCTGGCGGGGCCTGGGACTCACCAGGCCATGTCTCACCTGCTCTCACCGGAGGAGGGCCCTGGTCCAGCCCTGCAGTGGGCACTGGGAACCAGCTGGAGGTGGAGGGGCCTTGCTTCCCTGCCCAGAGGAGTGCCCTGGCTGGCAGTGAAATCCTGACCTGGGGGGGCATCATGAAGGAGAGAGAATGCCGAGGTGGCTGGGTGATGACTCTGCCGATTGCCCCCTCCAGGCTCTGCTGACCCCTGCGGATGCGGTGCTGTCGGATGAGCTGAACCATGCCTCCATCATTGACGGCATCCGTCTGTGCAAGGCCCACAAGTATCGCTACAGGCACCTGGACATGGCTGACCTAGAAGCCAAGCTAAAGGAGGCCCAGGTGGGATGAGGCTCTGGAGCTTGCCCTCAGCCTCCCTGGTGAAGGCGCTGAGACTTGGGGAGGCTCCCTCCAGCCTGGAGGTCTGACGCCACCAGACGCCACCAGTATCCCAACCCAAAGCCTCAGCCGCCTGGCTATCTTCAGGGCAACGGGCACCGTCCAGGACGGGTAGAAACAGCGCAGGACCTGGCTCCGCCTCACCCTGCCCTCTGGGACCTGACCCAGGAGGTGGCGCCTGGGACACTGCTCACTGCCCAGGCTATGTGTGGCTCCAGGCTGCCCTGAGGAGGTGTAGGGCTCAGTCAGGTGCTCGCGGGGGAGAGGATTTGCAGCCAAAAAGTGGCAGAACCTTGGTGCCCGCCTCTCAGACCCCCAGGCAGCGCAGGGCAGGTGCTTAGGCCCAGCTCACCACAGCGCTCGCCGCCTTCCTGTCTTCCCCGCAGAAACACCGGCTGCGCCTAGTGGCCACCGACGGAGCCTTTTCCATGGATGGTGACATCGCCCCCCTGCAGGACATCTGCCGCCTGGCCTCTCAATATGGTGCCCTGGTCTTTGTGGATGAATGTCATGCCACCGGTTTCCTGGGGCCCACAGGACGGTGGGAGCATGTGGCCCCTGAGGCCTGGGTGGGGCTTCTGAGGGTGGGTGGAAAACCAGGAGGCTAGCCCCAGCCTGCCCCACGGGTGGCACTCAGGAGACCAGTGGCTGCTTTCCTTGCAGGGGCACAGATGAGCTGCTGGGCGTGATGGACCAGGTCACCATCGTCAACTCCACCCTGGGGAAGGCGCTGGGTGGAGCATCAGGTGCCCGGAGGGGTGTCAGGGAAGTGGGGGGTGGCAGAGGACAGCACTCACTGTATTCCGGAGGGGACGGGGCTGGGCTCTGGGCCCTGACCAACCCCACGCCCCTCCCATGTTCTCAGGGGGCTACACAACAGGACCTGGGCCTCTGGTGTCCCTGCTGCGGCAGCGGGCCCGGCCCTACCTCTTCTCCAACAGTCTGCCTCCTGCTGTGGTGGGCTGTGCCTCCAAGGCCCTGGACCTGCTCATGGAGAGCAACACCATTGTCCAGTCTATGGCTGCCAAGACCCAGCGGTGCGGTTCCCATCAGGGGTGGGGCAGGCGGAGAGTGGGGGTGTGGTGAGGGCTTCCTGGGCCACAGGCTCCTCCTGAAGTCTCCGTGTCCCCCGTCAGTCCTGCCTTTCCCCCATCTCTCCTGCCTGCCCTGGGTCTGCTTCCCGCTCCCTTGTAGGGTCTGTGCCTCTGTCTTTGTTGGTTCATCTTGCAAACTTGGGCACAGATCCTGAGCCATGTACCCAGGAGCCCTGTGAATGTCCCTCAGTTGTCTTGCTCTGCCCACAGGTTCCGCACTAAAATGGAGGCTGCTGGCTTCACCATCTCGGGAGCCAGTCACCCCATCTGCCCTGTAATGCTGGGTGACGCCCGGCTGGCCTCTTGCATGGCTGATGACATGCTGAAGAGAGGTAAGGAACTGGGGCAGGAGGACCGAGGGATCCTAAGAGGAAAGAAATGGGAACCCAAAGACTGTAGGTCTCCCTTCCCCCCACCCCACCCCTCTCTTAGACCAGCTGTGGGTCCCGCCCCACAACCCCAGACATGGGCAGCACCATATCTGAGACCTTGGGCAGCTCCTGGCCCTCTTCGGGCCTCTGGAGAGCCGGCACTGGGTGTGGTGTCCCCTGGAGCCCGTGCAGCTCTTGCATTCTGCTGTCCACCTCCACAGGCATCTTTGTCATCGGGTTCAGCTACCCTGTGGTTCCCAAGGGCAAGGCGCGGATCCGGGTCCAGATCTCAGCGGTGCACAGCGAGGAGGACATTGACCGCTGTGTGGAGGCCTTTGTGGAGGTGGGGCGCTTGCACAAAGCATTGCCCTGAGTGCCTGGCACAGCGGCAGAGCCAAGATCCCCTACTGCCACCGCAAAATGGGGGGCCTTTGATCAGGCCAGAGGCTCTAACCCCTGACCCCAAATCCTGGGGCTGGCTCAGAGAAGGCCTATGCTTGTGCCACGAGGGTGTGAGACAACAGTGTGAGAAGTGCTGTGACTCCGGTCTGCTTTATTCTCTGTGGGGCCCAGTCCGGTGGTAGGGTAGACAGGAGCCAGGATTGCAAGGAAGCCTCCTGCAAGAGGACTGTCCCTCCCAGGGCTGACCTCCTCTCCAAATGAAGACAGAAAGGAGTGTCTGGGAGATAAGCAGGGGCCATGTTGGCTCAGCTGCATTCTGTGATGCTATGTTATGCTGGGAACCAGCCCTGCGTACCCCCTCCCATGCCACTCACCCTGTTCTGCAGCCCCCCAAGTCTAGGGTTGGTGGACACCTTGTCCTCTGCGCCCCATCCAAAGAATATCCTCTAGTACCCAGATAAGAAGAGATGGCGTGCCCAAAACCACGTTTGGGAGGAGAGGTAGGGCATTTAGGCCCTAAAGAAAAGAATGTGACTCACTACTGAGAAGCCCCTGACAATCTGGAATGCTGTGTTCCAGACCACTTTGTCCCTGACTCCATGACCTGGGGCAAGCCCCATTTCCTGTGTGTCCCAGTTTGCCCTACTGTACAGAGCGGCTGTTACATTGTGATCTAGGCTCTTCCACTGCGCTCCTTCCCAGGCCTACTGCCTGATGATCAGCCGCCAGAGGGCGCAGCTATTTCAGGCTTGGGTCGCTGCACGGTTGCCGTCTGCCCCGCCCACTTCAGACTGGTGGCCTTGGACTGCGGTGATTTCGGCGGCCACAAGCAAGGCCTGGAGGGACGATCTGTGGCTCCAAGGCCCCATCCTCCCTTCCCCGCCTCAAACAACTCGCCGCTCCCCTATTGGTGGTGCCAGCCTCTTTGCCACAGTCGCTGCCCCTGGTCTGCCCCTGGTCCTACAGGCGTCACAGGATGAGGGGAGTGCCTGCATTGGGCTCAGGCTCCTGGTGCTGGTGGGGGTGGGGACTGAGTTCTGAGTCAGTGCAGCTCCAGCTCCAGCGTGGCGTGGCCTTGGAAAGCTCATAGTTTGCCTGGTGTGTCACATGGGAGGAAAGGCTCTTTGTCATTAACTCTCTGGCACCTCCAGCCCTGGGGGAGCTCTGGCTGGATCCTGAGGGTGCTTAAAGTTGAGATTGGGGCATTGTAGCCTACGATGGGGAGGAGCTTGGGGCCAAGCGGCTGCAGTCGTGCAGGAGGTCATGATGCCCAAGGGGATCAGGCGGCATGGCCGGCAGGTGTGGCCACATCAGCGGCAGGAACACTTGCAGGCCGCTACTACCAGGTAAAGCACCTGGGCCATGCGCACTGCTGCAGAGAGTGTGCCTGACCTGGTGGCAGCCTGGGCCTCAACCAGCAGTGCCAGGCCAGCAGCTTGATGTGCATGGTCTGTGCAGGCCGGCAGGTCATGCCAGGCGGCCAGGAACAAGCGGGAGGCGACGCATCGCAGTCGGTGTGGCGGACCCAGCGCGGCCAGAAAACGGGTCCCAGATCTACCCAAGTTGAGGTGAGGCCACAGGAAGCGAGGTCCACCAGCCAGTGGTGCAGAATGCTCGCAGCCTCCCGCAGCTCCCAGGCGCCGCTGCTGGTGTTGGGCTCCCGGGCCGGCAATGCGGGCAGCTGCAGCTTGGCGACCTCCCGGGCCAGCTGGCCGCGGTAGCGCTCCATGCTGTGGGCCAGCTCGCGGCTCAGCGTGCCCATCCGCCCCTCCGGGTGTCGGCCACGGTGAGGCTCCTCCTCCGTCATCCAGAAGGGATCGTAGGAGGCGCCCAGCAGACTCGGCAGCCGATCCGGGCGCCTGCGTTTCGGCTTGGGCGCGTACTGGTAGTCGCCAACCGCCCGCGACAAGCTGTAGGGCCTTGCAGGACCCGAGGGCCGGCTGCGGATCAGCTGCAAGTCGGCGTCCTGTGGGGCCCAGAGCTCTGAGGACCGCTCCCAGGACTCGTGGTCCACTTCCTGTTTGCCGGGCACCTGGTTGAAGGGCGCGGCCATGAGTAAGGCGGTGAGCAGCAGCAGGAGCAAGGGGAGAAGGTGGCAGTAGGTACACCCTGAAGCTCGGGTCATGACCGCACGCCAGTCCTGCCTGCCCAGCCGCACTTTCCGTGATCGCCTCTCCTCCTTCCTCTTCCCCTCCTCCCCTGCTATCATATCTGCTGTGCCAGAAGCCCTTGGCCCTAGTACTGCCAGCCCAACCCCTTCGAGGAGAGGCCTTGAGGGCAGGGGGCTCCCTAGGAACCTGGGGCCGCTGATCATGGATCTCAGGGGCTTTCCAACCGGTTCTGGGTGTTTCCACGCTAATACTGTCCATGATTCAAAAAAACCTACTGCACTAAGCCTAGAATCCTACAAATTCCCTTGATCAGGGATCATAAGATCCTACAATGCTAATTCGCTCAATCTCTATCTCCAAAATTTTGGAGATTCTCTAAATCTGGAGTTGGTAATGCAGGGCTTCAGAGTCACCTCTGAGCGTTGGTGAACAGCCCTGGCCTCCTAGGAACTGATCCCAAGATCTTCCCCAGCTCCTCTGGCCTCCAATGGAAGCCTCAGCTCTGCCAGCACTCTTTACAGTCTCCCCTCCCAGTCAGTTTCTAGAAAGACCCTTCCTGACTCAGGGCAAACTGCCTTCTGCCTCACCACACCTGTCCAATATGACAGCAACCTCCTGGTTATGAATCCAGTCCACTGCACGGCACCCCAGTGCATTTGGCTATGTGCCACTCCTCCAAGGGTCCAGGCCAGCACCCCATGAATCACATAGCCATTCACCTAGACCTTTTCACTTCTTTGGCTGTTTCCTGGAGAAGAGGCTCTGAGTAGGTCTCTCTCTCTCTGTGTCCAGAGCAGCTTGATGTGCATGGTCTGTTCAGGCCGGCAGGTCATGCCAGGCAGCCAGGTCAGAATAAACTTCTTTCAAAATAAAATGTGCAGGGCTGGGGATGTGGCTCAAGCGGTAGCGTGCTCGCCTGGCATGCGTGCGGCCCGGGTTCAATCCTCAGCACCACATACCAACAAAGATGTTGTGTCCGCCGAGAACTAAAAAAATAAATAAATATTAAAAATTCTAAAAAAAATAAATAAATAAAATGTGCAGGTCATGTCCCTGCTCTAGAACCTTCATTAGCTCCCTGTTACTCTCAAACTAAAGAGAAACTCTTAGGACAGTTTCCTGAACCATCTGGAACAAGTTTAGGGGAGATGGGTTTCTGGGGGTTCACAAGGGCCTGAGGAGGTCCTACCTGAAGTCTACAGGAAGGGTACTCATATACTGGCTTCCCAGCTCAGGAAAGCCCTTTAAGACTAGGAATTCAGACGGACCTGGTGGTGTACTCCTATAATTCCAGCTACTCTGGAGGCTGAGAGGAGGATCACAAATTCAAAATCAGCCTCAGCAACTTAATGAGATCTTGTCTCAAAAAAGTGTGTGTGGGTGGGGGTGGTGGGTTGCAGCTCAGTGGCAGAGGGCCCCTGGATTTAATCCCCAGTACCACACACATGCACAAGGACTAGGAATCCTGTCCTTGCTTAGTATGGATTGGAGCAGAGAGGGGAGAGGAGAAGGGGTGGAGTCATCGGCAGGGCGGATGGAGGTGGGAGTGTCAGGAATGTGCTGGGCTCTGGACACCAAGGGGTTAACTACATAGCCAATCTCAGAGAGCGAGATCAATGGGTTACTCCCAGGAAAGAGAGAATGAGGCAGCAGCAACGCAGACAGGCAGAGAAGAGCCAGGCAGAAGAGCATGCCACCCCGGGGAGTCAGGGATTGAGCACGGGTGGCTGGTGGCTACTCTGGAGGGAGTGCCCAAGTCGGACTCTGCAGACGGGGGCAGAGGAGAGGAGGGGCCTTGAAGGCGAAGGGAGAAGTAGGAGGCAGACCTGTACCTGCAGGGAGGCACCAAGGGGCAGCCGCTGAGCCAGGAGGCAGCCCTAGCCTGGCCGTTCCACCCAGGAGAGCCCAGTTCCCAGGGCTGAGGTGGGTGCTGCCCATTCTGGGCTTGGGGGCTTGCTGCATGCTGGGTCCTGGGTGGGAGCAGATGGTGCCTTTCTTCCCTCCTCCCTGCTTCCCTACCCCAGCTCCTAATCCATTCCTACCCCACTGTCCCAGCATGCAAGGGGATCCACAGGTAGCAGATGTGGGCTCCGGGATGGGGCAAAGATAAGGTTGTCAGTGGTACCATTGTTACAGCCTCCGATGAGCACCCCGGCCTAGGAGCCAGGGTACAGATGCACCCAAGGTGTGCCATTCACCACCCTGTTCCCCCTCTGGGCCTCAATTTCTCCATGCTCAGAAAAGACCATATGGTTTTCCTACCTTTGCCCTCGTGGGGAATCTCACTAGACCAGACTCACCAATGACTTAGGGATGTCACACATTTTGCTCAGGCTACCAGCCAGAGAAAGTCCTGAACCCATGTCCAAGGGTCTCCCCTGAGCTTTAGAGCCCCATCGAGAAATAAGGGAAATATATCAAGCTCCTGGGATTGATGCTGCCCCTCCCCCATCTGCCATGTCTTCACCCTGTTCTGTCGGTCTTCATCTGCCTCCTGAGTTGAAGGTGTCCGTCAATAACTCAGAGTCCTCTGCACCCTGGGTCACAGGAGTGTTCCCTAGGAAACTGAAGAACTGCATCCCCCCACCACCAATGTGACTGTGCCAGGGACTTGCTCATACACAGTGGGTCCCAGTGGTGACTTTTGGCTTTGCCCCTCTCCACCATTACCCATGAGCTTCCAGTCCAGGACACCTGGCCAGACCCAGGCTAGGGGAACTAGGGCCTCCAAGACAAGTGCCCAGAGCAGGGGACACACTGCCTGAGGACTCCAGCTTCTCTTCCCCAGGTGTCCATCTGATGGGGAGATGGCCGATGCCCAGAACATTTCGCTGGAGAGCCCTGGAAGTGTGGGGGCCGTGGCAGTGCCTGTGGTCTTTGCCCTCATCTTCCTGCTGGGCACAGTGGGCAATGGACTGGTGCTGGCTGTGCTGTTGCAGCCAGGCCCAAGCACCTGGCAGGAGCCGGGCAGCACCACGGATCTGTTCATCCTCAACCTGGCCGTGGCTGACCTCTGCTTCATCCTGTGCTGCGTGCCCTTCCAGGCCGCCATCTACACTCTGGAGGCCTGGCTCTTCGGGGCGCTCGTCTGTAAGGCCGTGCACCTGCTCATCTACCTCACCATGTATGCCAGCAGCTTCACCTTAGCTGCCGTCTCAGTGGACAGGTGGGCTGTGCCTGGGGCCCAGCTGGGGAGGGAAGACCTGCACAGATTCTCACTGAACTTAGAAAGGAAAGAATCGGGGACAGACAAGGGAGGTAGGAAGGAGGGAAGGAGAGCTCTCTGGGCCCTGCAGGGCATGCCTAAGGGGACCATGCTGCCCCCCCCCACACACACACACACATTATAGAGTCCAGGGGACATCTCTTCAGTCTCAAGAGTTGACATAGGAGGTGAAATTCTTGGCAAAAGAAATTCCCAATGTTTTAAGATATTTTGCAACTGATCATTCCAGGCCCCGGTCATGCTGACACCTGCATCAAATGGCTTGAAACTTGGGGTCAAACCCAGGCTGAGTGCCTAGCTGATAACCTTGGGCAATTACTTGTTTCACCCTTACTTGATTTGGATGTGAAAGAATTCTGGACATCTAAGAATTCATAAAGTCTAAGTGCACGCCTGTAATCTCAGGGCCTTGGGAGGCTGAGACAGGAGGATTGAAAGTTCAAGACCAACCTCAGCAACTTAGCGAGGCTCTTATCTCAAAATAAAAAATAAAAAGGGCTGGGGGGGGGCGTCTAGCGCCCCTGAGTTTAATCCCCAACACCAAAAAATAAAATAACATCGAAGGGCGTTTGGGCCCTTGCTAGGTGTCAGGCTTGGCTCTCAGCACGTAGCGTGATAGCGCCCTGGGTCCTTAGGATCCCCCCACTGTCAGTCCAGGAGCTCCAGGTCCACCCCGGCACAGGACCCCTGAGCAGGGGCATGGACCCGGGCCGGCGG